GCCTGCTACGTGCCCAGCACTGTGCCAGATACTATAAGGCACAAAGCTGCATCGAGCAAGGTCTCTGTTCTGGGGGAAATTTACAAAGTCATTCAGGAGGAGATGTAGGGAGGGAAGGAGGGAGAGAACTTGTTCTGTTTTATGTGGACACGGTGCCAGGTACATACTTCACCTTTGTCCTGCAAGGTGAGATAAGTAGGCACGTGAAAACAGTAATCATAACCATAACTAACATTTATCTTTCCTTAGGGTCTCCCTAGACCCATCTTCAAGGCAATATGTGATGCACTCTGTTCCTTCTTACCTCCTCATGGCTCAAGACCCAGATCTTCCTGATTCCTGCTGCCCCTTATACCCCCTAGAATTTAGTCCTCCCTTCTTCTGTCCCACGGTCACATTTCCTCATCGATTACATGATACACCATGTTTTCAATATTGTCCCAACTGGGATTCGAGTTCCCTATTGAGGGTAGGGCTTACACTTGACTCCCCTGTGTAGCCTCTAACACCGGGACCTCCCCATGCCCCCACCAGAGGAGGTGAACAGTAAATTCTTATTGGATGGATGACTAGGGGGAGTGAGAAGTGGGCGGAGGAATCTGCCCAGTGACCGTGCCCAAGGAAAGTGCTGCTGGGTTATGAAGCAGTTGGGACAAGTGCTCAGAACCAAAAGAAGTCAGGATGGGCCTCAAGGAAACCAGAAAACAGGCAAAATGCAAATCAGGCAGGAGCCAGCTTCTGGTCAAGGCCTGCCTCTCCTTTCTCTGGGTGTTTGGGGAGAACAGGAAGTAGACTCAGGACAGCCGTGTCTGTTGAGAACAGATGCTCTCTGGGCCTGACTGTGGGGCATGGAGGAGGGGACAGGGCAGAGAGAGAAAGGAAAAGCAAAGGGGGAGGGCCATAGCTAGCAAAATGGAATATCCACAGGCCCTCTTATTTATTTAATTTTACTTTTTTTAATGGAAAATTTCAAACACACACCAAAATAAAGGGAATAGGAATAATGAACCCCCATGTGCCCATCACCCCACTTCAACAACCGTCCCCATTTTAACATCCTTATTTAATTCCTTCCCCCAAGCGTCTCTTTAAAGAAAATTCCAGACAATATATCATTTCAGAATATATTCAGAATGTATCTCTCACATATTAGAACATTTCTGAAAAAGTAACCTCATTATCACACCTAATAAAATTAACAATTTCTTAATACCATCTCATGCAAAGTCCACATTCAAATTTCCTCATTTTTATCAAAAATGTCTTTTTAACACCCGACAGGAATCTGGGTTCATTGTGACTAGGGACACAAACCTTGTGGCCTTCCTATGAACAAATACCCAACACATATCCCCCTGCACCTCCACGTGGCTGCTGGGCAGGACCAGTGAGACAGGGCTCAGTACTGGAAGGAAAGCTACAGTATTCAGTGGGGGAGTTTGCCACCTACAGCCTGTCCTGTCCACACGTGGGTGAGCCATGAGTGGTCTTATAGGCATATAGGCTTTGAACCCCTCCCTTCAAAGAAAAACGAAAAACAGATTCCAACTATATGCCATTCTGGAAAAGGCAAAACAATGGAGACAATAAAAAGATCAATGGTTTCCAGGAGTTTGAGGGGAGAGGGGAGATGAATACACAGAGTACAGAAGTTTTTATGAGCAGTGAAAATACTTTGTATGACTTTATAATGATTTTATGTCAACTTTTTTTTTGAGAGTCCTTTTGCGGTACGCGGGCCTCTCACTGTTGTGGCCTCTCCCATTGTGGAGCACAGGCTGCGGACGCGCAGGCTCAGTGGCCATGGCTCACGGGCCCAGCCCCTCCGCGGCATGTGGGATCTTCCCGGACCGGGGCACGAACCCGTGTCCCCTGCATCGGCAGGCGGACTCTCAACCACTGCGCCACCAGGGAAGCCCTACGTCATCATACTTTTGTCCAAACCCATGGAACGTGCAACACTATTCACTTCATAAAGTGAACCCTAAGATGAACTAGTAACTTTGGTGATTATGATGTGTCAGTGCAGTTCAGCCTTGGTTTAAAAAAAAAAAAAAAGTCTTAAAAAGAATTAACACTGAGGGTAGACGTTTCTGGCAAAACTTTTGTTTCACTTTTATATATGTATACATATTATATACGTGTGTTTGTTGGATTGTGATGTAAAATGTACTAAACAAGCTCCGTGCACTGCATTTTGTTGCTATGACTCTTAAATGTGTTTTAATCTCTAACAGTCCTTCCTCCTTCCCTTTTTTATGTCATTTTACTTGTTGAAGAAACCAGGCTCTTTGTCCTGTAGAATTGTCCTCATTGTTGATTTGGTGGATTGAGCCCTCCTGGTGTCCTTTTACATGTTCCACTGCCCGCCCCCCGCCCATTTCCTGGACACTGATATTTAGACCCAGAGGGTTGATCTGTGTAGGGTCAATTATTTTGGCAAGCAGACTTCCTGGGTGAAGCTGTGTCCTTCCTAGTGCACCATATCAGAAGCAAGTAAGGTCAGATATTCCTTTCGTGTGTGACACTAAAAATGATCAATGTTACCAGCCTGATGCTTCCATTATAAAGCTTCCCCATCACCTGGTCCCCAAGGGATTTTAGCACCTTTCGTAAAATCTTAAAACTGACAAAGCTGGAATAGCTCTGAGAAACTCATTCACTCATTTTTCAACTCATCCCACAAATATTTGTTGAGCATCTACTATGCACCAGGAAGTGAGCAGGAGTGAGAAAAACCACCACAATCCCTGGGATCACAGAGCCAACAGTCAGATGGGGGCGAACAACAAATACACGAGCAAGCAGGTACACCAACAAGAGACGTTTACAGCCATGTAAAGAGCTACCCCAGAGCAAGGTGATGGTGGTCTGGCAGCCACTTTGTGGTGGGTGATCAAGGACAGCCTCCCTAGGAGAGGACACTGGAGCTTGACAAGAGCGATCCAGTCGTGCATTCCAGGGAGAGGGAGAGCTGGGGCAGGCAGAGAAGCTGCGCAGCCATCAGCAGTAACGAGGAGGCGAGTGTGCTCAGCACCAGTGGGCAAGGGTGAGGGGGCCTGAGGGGAGGCCAGCGAGGAGGCTGCTGTGGTAACACAGGAGAGACTGACCATGACCCAGACCAGACGGCGGAGTGGAGGTGATGGCCAGTCCAGCGCCCCTTCCACCCCCTTTTACAGAACACTGAGCCTGGGGAGGGCAGGGAGACAGTGGTTATTGAGTAACTACCCGCCACAGGAGCTTTCTATGCAGCACCTCAAAACCGCCCCTGAACGCTATGTAGAGGTCATTGTGCCTATTCCACAGGTGAGGCCAGTGAATAGTAGTGAAGTCACCTGCCCAAGGGCATAGAGGCAGAGGGGGAAAGGAGGATAGAGCCCCGGCCTGAGGAGGCCCTCTGACCCTGCAGGGTCATCCCACGCTGTGATGACCGCTGTGGAGTCTCAAACCTTGGCCCTGGCACCTGAAAGCCCTGCGACCTGGACCAAGGGCCTTCTCCCTGTGCCTCAGTTTCCTAACCTGTAAAATGGAAATAATACTTGCCCAAGGTGCACAGCAAAGCCGAGACAAGGTGGTCCAACCTTGCTCCCAGTCCCTGCCTGTGGGGCCCACACAGGTCACCTTAGGAGAGCCTACAGGCAGCTTCACACCCTCCCACACGGACCCACAGAGGGTTAAACTCAGCCTCCCTCCTTCCTCCATCCCAATTCTGATCCTTGCTGACTCTACAGCAGCTATTCTGGGACAATGGAGGCAGCAGATGGCCCGAGTCCTGTTCCCTCCACCCGACCCTCAGAATCTGGGAGCAACCTGCAAATCTGCTGCTGCTTCTAAAAGCGGTCCAGCCAGCAGCCTTCCGCGTACAGGGCGGAGAGGACGGCGGCAGTGCAGCACACTGTCCCATCCCCACCGGGCTGTGGGCCCAGGGGCCGCCCCACTCGGCTCGCATCCCACAAACGCAGCATTAGGTCAACCCAGAAAGAAAGGAAGCCCTGCACCTAACACGCACAGAGCGGCCTCCCTCTGGGTCAGGCTCCTCCTTGGAAAAGAAGGTGCTAAGGCTCCAGTGCTCAGCGGTTCCATCAGCCCAGACAGAGTTGCGGCAGGGACAGGGTCCTTCGAGGGCTGGAGGACGTGCTCCAAAGGAGCCCCCAGCCCCAGCTGCCTGGGTCAGAGCCCCTTTGTCCTCCCTCCCTCCTCCCCTCAGCCCTGATCCCCACTGTGACGCCAATTACACAACATCTCTGAGCATGATGCTGGCGGGGAGCAGACAACTTCCCTTCCTAGCCCTCCCCACAGGTACCATCAGGCCTGAAATTTCACCATGATCACTTTCATTCAGTCATGCAACCTCTTTGGGACATGAAATTCTAAGGGCATTTACCTTTACTCAGCTCCTACCTGGGCTCTCAGAGTGTCCTTTTATCTGATACCAGAGGCTGAATCCCTTAGCTCCATTCAGCCTTCCTTGATTCTCTGGCCACACCAACCCAGGCCCTGAAGACAGATAAAAGGAAGAATCGTCCCCAGCAAACCAGCACCTCATAGCACACAGATATTCACATGCGTGCACATCACACACACACACAGGTGTGACACAGGCACAAACACATCCATACACCCCACATACGTCCTTAGGCACAGACGAGCGTAGAAGGGTGTACGGCACATGCGCACTCTTATGTGCCCGGCATGCAATGACACAGCACACACTACTTGCATCACTGTTCACTGAGCCATTCCTTTCTCCAGGCTGCGCCCTCTACAAACTGCATCATTTCACCTACAACCCGCGAGGTAGGTATTCCTTTTCTCATATATAAAATGAGCAAACAGGCCAGAGAGACCAAGTGGATTCCTCAAGGTCACACAGCCAGCAAGGGTAGGGCAGGGCTGTCTAGCCGAGGGACCCAAATCAACACCACTACGACAGACAGATCAAAGACCCTACCTCGGTCAGGAACGACTTTGGCTGCACGTAACAGAAAACTGAGCCAAGAGAGGCTTAAACAAATAAGGGTTTAATATTCTTACACAACCAGATGTTGGAAGGGACAGCTGTGGATGATTGTCTTGGCCTTTCCTTCATGGTAGCAAGGTGGCTGCCCTAGACCCAGACATCACACCCACATTCACAGCAGGAAGATGGGGTCTGGGGCTGCAAAACCTTCCCCAGAAGCCTCTCTATTGGCTTTGCTTTATTTGCACTAACAGACAGAGCTCTGGCTCTGGCCAGAGCTGGGTCATATAGTAGCTCCTAACAGAAAGGGAAGCTGGGAAAGTGAGCAAAAGGATCATCGTGATTGGCTAGGACCCGTTCTGATTCATCATCTGGGTCTGGACATGCGGATGCTCCAAACAAAATCGGGGGGGGGAGCAGGGACCGGAGACTGGTCAGCGCTAACAGTATCTGCCACAGACCCTGGATTCTGCCCTTCTTGCACCTGCATCCCCGCGGTGGCTGGGGATCCAGCCGAGGAAGCCAGGAGTGGGTGGCCCAGCGCTTGACCCCGGGAGAGTAACTGAGGGACCAGAGGTGGGGGCTCTGACCACACCAAGGGACCCAGGTAATTCTCTGGAGAGTGAGGACTCCTGAGCCCAAGCAGCTCAAGGGCCCCTACCCTTGTTCAGTTCAGCCACCCAAGGCACATGAAGTCCAGCCCCTGAGGCCTCTCTGGCCCTCACACGGTGCACCTGGTCCTGGGCTGTCCAGCCCACCTCCCAGGGGCTTGGGATGCCTTTACCGCCAGCCACCATCCAATCCTGGGCCTGCCCACCACAGAGGCCCTGCCAGGGACTGCTGCCCACACAGGAACTGCCACGGGCCCTCAAGGCCGCCTGGGAGGCTAAGGGCAACCAAAGGCTTCAGCTCAACCTTTGCCCGGAGGTTCAGGGTTCATCGGGCAGGGTTCAGCTGTGGGCACCAGGGAGTATCCGGGTAGAGTAGACAATGCAGGGAGCGAAACCTGTGGAGAGACCAGAAATGGACAAGACGGGTCACTCCCACGGGTTCCTGGGGAGCACGTCACAGAGATGCTCTGGAGCACGGTTTTTCCACCTCAGCACGATGAACATTGGGGTCCAGATAATTCTGTTGTGCGGCTGTCCCGTGCATTGTAGGGTACTTAGCAGCATCCCTGGACTCCAGCCACTAGATGCCAGCAAGCATCCTGAGTCTTAACAATCAAAAATGCCCCCACACGCTGCCAACTGTCCCTTAGTGGGGGGCGTGGGGGGGGGGGAGTTGCCAAATGGTCCCTGGTTGAGAACCGCTGGTTTATAAAGACTTCAAAAGCCAGAGAAACCATGAAGAGGCCTCAGCTGAGGCCACACCCTCTGACCGCACATATCTGAGTCCCCAGTTGGCTCCAGCCCTATTAGGTAGCAACCTTTAGATTCTAAATCTTCAGGCTTTGAGAGAATTTAACACCAATTCTTAAACGCCTTGGCAGTATAGCCATAGCTTGCACACCTCCACTGATGGGGAGCTCACTCTATTAGAAGGCAGCTCCTTTCCTCTTAGAAATTGAGCCACACTCTGTCTCCTTGTAATGCCCGACTTGTTCAACACAGCCCTGGTCCCGGCAGCCTTGGGATAGCTGTGACTCCTCTGCCCCCAGCCAGACAGCTCTGCAGAATTTCAGGGGCAAGAGTGCTGGCTCCCCTAAGGATTACCCTACAGATAAATCCGAAGTCCAGACAGAGCCCACAAGGCCTTTGGGGGCATGCGGGAGGGTGTTCCCTGCCACCTCCCCAACTGAATCTGACTCCACTCTCCTCTCTCCTCTCACATTCCAGTCACACTGGCTTCTTTTACTTCCTTAAGCAGGTCTTGCTCCCCTGCCACAGTGTGTCACAGGCTGTGCTCTGAGCTGCCCTACAGCAATCGGGGCTGGGGGTGGGACGGAGGGGGCTGGGCTGAGCAGCCCTAATGCCCCCAGGGAGTCTTTGGGGACAGAACTGGAAGGTGCCTAAGTGACATTCTAGCCCCCATTCCAACCCTCTATCCATCGAAAAGTATCATCAAAGAAACAAAGAGCCTAAGAAAGATTTTCTTTTCATTTCCCCATGACTGCCTGGAGCTCCTCCATTAGAGCATCTCCTTTGCTCAGTGAAGAGAGCTCAGTCTTTCACAGTCTCCCAGAGGATCAGGCCTGGGAGAGCCCTTCAGATCCACATAGCTCAGCCTCCTTGTGTTACAAATGGGGCAACTAATGTCCAGAGAGGGCAAGGCACCTGCCCAAGGTCACACAGCAAGCCAGTGACAGAGCGGACACTGAAATCCACTCCCTCCACTCCCAGCTCCGCTCTGTCAGTCACTGGCCTCTCTCACTTCCCTCCCTCCTGGCTCCCCCATCTTTGGATGCCTGGACGCAGGCCCCACTCCTCCCATCCTACAGTTTCAGCCTCCAGACCCACCTGGAGGAGTCCTCCTCAGGGGAGAAGGGGCCATGGAGCTTAATGACGTTGAGTTTCCCCTCAAAGACGCCATAGCTGAGGGTGACCTGCGCAGAGAGACACAGAGAAGAGAGTGAAGGGCGCAGGGCGTCCCACTGGCGACCCCACAAGGGGGCAGCATTTGGGCAGAAACAGAGAAGGCACAGAAGGCATTTTGAGGGGCACAAAAAGCATTCCTCTGCACCTGAAATTCCACCGTCAGTAATGGGTGTTCCGCTGAGGGCCTCACCCCACTCCCCTTTGACCATAATCCCATTTGTGCCGCCAACGGTCCAGTTTACTAGGGAGGCTGGAACGATTCCCTCATCTACAGATTGGGAAACTGAGGCTCAAGGCGGGAAAGCACCTTTCCAGAAAGTTGCATGCCTGAACGGAGGTTTCCTGAGACCCACTCTAGGGCCTGCGCGATCTGTCTCCACCCGGAGCCTAAGGTCACTCCACGAGAAATGAGGATACAGGATGTTGATACCCGTCAAGAGGTAGCCAAGCACAGTGGTTAAAGACTGTGGGCTTAGGGGCCACCCAAGCAGGGTTCAAATCCCTCTCTGTCCTCTACTAGCTGTGTGCCACAGTTAGTTCCACTCTCTGGGCCTCAGTTTCTCCACCTGTAGAATGGGAATAATGTTAGGACTCACCCCCACGTGAATGCTGTGGGGAAGCAGAGAGTTAAAGAAGTTAAGGCCCCAGTGTGGTGCCTGGCACAGCGGGGGATCTGAAAACCCCACCTTTAGGGTGCCCTGGTTTCGGCCGTCCAAAATCTGCCCCTCTTTCCCGGCTGTGATCCTAATGGGACCAATCTGCATCCCCGTTCTAGGTCTGGCCAATCAACTATAACTCTAGGCACTGGCAGGAGACAGGTCATGTGACCCAAGTGGGCCATGTGACCAATGAGCACCGGTCCTGAGATCTGGTGGAAGGAGGAGCTCTCTTCCCATGGGTGGGGTGGAAACCAGGGGCTGCCACCTTGCCAGCATGAGGGCTGAGCCTGCCTGAGAATGAGGCCAACAAGGGGGAGGGCACATGAGAGAGGGGACAGGGTCTGAGCACCCAGACCCTGCCAGATCTAGCAAGTCAGGCCAAGCCCTCAGCTTCTCAGGTACGCGAATTAAACAGACCTTTTCTGTTTAATTAGTCTGTTGCCTCTCTGTCACTTGCAGCCAAAAGGGCTCTGACTCACTCACACCATGAGGCAGAAGATCCCAGGGGCCTCCCAGCCAGGACGCCCTACGGGGCTGGAAACCCATGAGTTGGAGGGCGTGTCTGCAAGGCAGAGCCAGTTGGACCTCAGCAGAGTCATTCCTTGCCAGGTGGTGGGACGGGTCCCTACCCCTACCCCAGCCTGACATTACACTTGGATGTCCCTACTGAAGACCTGGTCCTTCCCAGTGACACCTGGGTGAGAAGGAAAAGCAGCAATCAGTAGACGGGTAAGCTTTGGTGAAGGAGAGGGCTGCCGATAGGCAGTTGAAAAGGACTGGCCCCTTCAGAGGGTGCGGGGAGGATGGGAGGTTGAAGAGAGGAGAGAGGGAAGGAGGTAGCATGTGGCGAGCTGGGTGGTCTGAACCTCAGGACGAGCTTCATCTCATGTGTGCAGGTCCCTCCAGCTGGCATTTGGGAACCAGATCAAATAATTTTAGCATCATAAATGCAGACCCTTGAGGGTTAGAGGCGGAGAGAGCTGAGTCACTGCATGCCCTCAAGGGGATCCTTTACCACCCTGGGCCTCAGTTTCTCCATCAATACGGGAGAGCCCCCACAAACACCTTCCCCAGTGCCACCTGCCCCAAGGCTGGCTCACCTGCCTTGGGAGCTGGGCAGCCCCCAGCAGCTGCAGGGTCTCCAGGTGGGAGTGGAAGAGAGGGCTGGGCTGCAGGTGGCCGCCCAGCTTGCACTCGACGATGTAGCCCACAGTGCAGTCGTCAGGCAGCCGGATGAGGGCAGATGTGTCCACGAAGCGGGGGCCACTGAGGGACACAGTCATGCTGCAGCCACTGGCCTAAGGCCCTCGACACCTAAAGCCCTCCCTGCCTCCCTGAAGACCCTGCCTCCGCCCAGGCCAGCTGGGAAAACAGAGCTTGGCTCTAGCATCTGCCTCTTGCATACTGTGTAGCCTTGTGCAAGTCACAAGCCTCGGGGAGCCTCAGTTTCCTCTTCTGTAAAATGGGCATGATAATGGCCCTGCCCTCACAAGGCTGTTGTGAGGATTAAGTGGAGGAAAGGTGAAATGCAGCCCTTTATAAAAATGTATCCTTTCTTTCTCTCTCTTTCTTTTAATTCATTCACTCACTCATTCATTCATTCTTGAGTTTGAGCATCTACCTGCTGCCAGCCACCATGACACAGAGGCTGAGGACAAAGAGATGAGAAAGAAATGCTTCCTGCCCTCAACAGCAGCCCCGATTCTGGAGGGAGACAGATAGATGAGCAGGTCATTTCAGAGGACTGGTACTAAGTCAGGGGGAATCACGAGGCGTGGGGACACAGGGAGGACAAGGTGGATTCCCAGAGGATGTGGCAGTCTTTTGTTTTGCTCTTTACTTAATCATGGCAGTAGCAGTGTTTAAACAGAGGATGAGCTGGAATCAGCCAGGTGCCGAGCAGGGGAGGAGCAGTGTTCCAGGCAAGGGCGTCACCTGACTGCGTACCCCACGAACGCCGCGGGGGTGCCAGGTGGAGCAGCTTGCCCCGCTGTGCAGGATGCCTGACCGAGGGGTCGAGTGGGTGCAGAAGCCCAGCCGTTGCCCCCCTCCCCAGGCTGCACCTGCCCAGGGTGGGTACATTTTTCTAATTCACACAAATGTACCATAGAGGTGGACAGAAGCCTAGATGGGGGCAGCCCAGGCACAGGGATGACCCCGGTTGTGTGTACATGCCTGCTGTTAACAGATGCTAGGACAGCACTCCTGCTCCCAGCCAGGGCACAAACTGGCCCCGGAGGACCCCTCCCGTCCAGGGCAGGGCACGGCAGGCTGGTGTAGTGACAAAGCACGCAGGCCTTAGAGCCAAACCCAGCAGCTGAGTGACCTTGAACCAATTACTTTGCTTACCCTCTCAGCACCTCAGTTTCCTCAGCCAAGTAGAAATAAGGCCAACACCCCTTCCTCCCTGGGGGCTGTGATACTCTTAGCAAAGCACAGGCCTGGCTCAGAGTCAACCCTCAATTCAAGGTAGTGACACTGATGTGGCTGTTAATAACAGCCTGCTTGGCAGACCTCAAGAGGCTAGACCTTGGCCACGTCCTCTCTAGAATATCAGTACCCCCACCAGGTACTGAGGGCTTCCACTACTCCCACGATCCCCCTCAGTCTGAGCCCTCTAGGACCATCCCAGCTCAAATTTCACCTCTTCCAGGAAGCCTTCCCTCCTTTCCCCAAGCAGAAGGCCCTACTCCCTCCTCTGAGTGCCCCTCCAGTTGGCCTTCACCTCCCCTGTGACAGTGACCAGTCAGAAGAGGGCTGAAAACAGGACCTAATGTTTGCCGGGCTCCTGCCAGGTGCCAGCCCAGACACTTTTTCATTTAACCCTTACAACAACCACTGGCCATTGTATTATCAGGTCCATTTTACAGATGGGGGCACTGAGGCTCCTGGAGATTACACAACTTGCCTGTGTGTGGCAGAGTGCACTAGGCGGTGTACCCCCAAGGGCATGGTGACAGGTGGCTTGCTCACCACTAACTGTGTAACTCTGTGATACAGCGGGAATGAGGGGTAGTTTCTCCTGAGCTCGCTCTCAAGCCCTTCCTGCTGCAAAGGCCCCACCCACACACCAGCCAACACCCCCTCTCTGCACCCCCCACCTCTTCCGCCAGTCTCTAGGTCTCTGCTTACCTGGCCCATGGGGCCATCTTCAAAGCCAGTTTGCGGTTGATGCAGAAGCCGGCGCCCCCGGTGGCAAACCAGAACTGTACCAGCCTCTGCGGGGAGAGATGGGGAGGGCCAAAACGTAGGGTGAGCCTGGGGTGGGGGCAACAGCCAGGGCCCCCCTTACCCCCAACAAGCATGGCTCAAAACTTTTTATTTCACATCTCACTAGAGTCTTCCTACAGCCTGACATTATTATGCCCATTTTATAGATAAGGAAACCGAGACCCAAAGTCACATAGCTATTTAAGAATGATGGGGACAACAATTAGACCCCAATCTGGCTGGATTTCAGTTAAAGAGGACACATATCATATTTGTCCACCCAGTGCACCTTATCCCTATCCTCAGAGAAACATCCCCATGTGGTTCAGGAGGGACTGCCCAACACAGCACCTGCTCCCATAGGTCACAGATACAGGCAGGTGCCCCAGGAATGATGGATCACAAGACCACACCTTTGACCCAGTGACTGGCTCAGCAACAGGCTCATGACTCAGCCAGCCAATCAGAGTCCTCGCCTGAGTTCCATATGCTGTGAGGGAGAGATGCTTTTACAGGGTCACCAGTAAAGATAATCCTGATGCCATTTACACCGGGCCATGAACACTGGCCTCGCCACTCCCAACTCCTGGGACCAAGAAAGCTTTTCTGCAAAAGGAGAGAATGAGGTCTCATGGAGGAAAGAGAGAAGGGCAGGCAGGCCTGTGAGCCCCTAAGGCCAGCAAACCCCTTGGCATTTCAATCTCAGCAACCAATACCACCCCTTTGGGGTGTAAACCACTTTCTGCCCTCACCCAACATCACCATGGCCCAAGGCCTCTTCTACCTCCTCTGTGAGGACCTGTGAATTCACCCATGAATTTCTTTAAGGCTTTTGAGAAACACTGAACCTCTTCAGCTGTATCATCTCTTGGACAAACAAGTGCCCTAAAGTTACCTTCTCCCAAGTACAGAGTTGGTGCTTCATTGATGCGTGTTGCATTGGGTTGGGTCACCTCCCATGATGCAGCAGTGAGAAGAGCCGTGGGCAGGGAGCTGGAAAGTGGAGGGGCCCCCGCCTCCTCCACTGCACAGCTGTGTAACCTTGAGAAAGTTCCTGCCCCTCTCTGTACCTCAGATTTGTCACCTGTGAGTACAACATTGGCTCCAGGTCTGAAATCCGGTGGTTCTCCTGGCCCAGAGGTGTCCTCCTCCTAAAGACCTCTACGAGCTTACTTCTGGAAACTCTGCCCTCTTAGAGAGAGGTCGGGCTTCAACCAGGCAGAATGAATGGTTTCTTGAGGACCTGACACACAGGAGGTGCCCAATAAATGCTTGTTTAATGAATTAATGAGGGCAGGGCTTCCACTCCCAGAGAACTGTAGCAACGTCAGCAGCGACCATGCAAGTGCCTAACCCTGAGCACTGACTATGCAGAGCCCTGTGCTGCAGGTGAGGTGACCAAGGTGCACAGCACTGAGGTCACTTGACTGAGGTCCCAGAGCCGGGACTGACTCCAAGCCTGAGCCCTTGCCCCCTTTGCTGTCCCACCCTGGGGGATGCCAGGGTCTTAACAGACCAGGACACTTTGGAGCGGAGTCCTGGGATCCCGCTGGTGGGGTGTCTGACAAGGAGGGCATTCATGCACGTTGTGAGGTCGGGGACTGGGTGTGTCCCGAACCAGCACAGGAAGAACACAGCTCAGAGATGAGGCTGTGCTGAGTCGGGTGCTGATTGATAACACTCTCTAGTGTCCACCACGTGGCAGATCCCGTTCCAAGCGCTTGGATAGATGACCGCATTTAATTCTTTTTTTGCTCACAACAGCCCTATGAGGTAGTGACTGTTTTCACTGATTTTACAGATAAGGAAACCAAGGCACAGAGAGGTGAGGTGACTTCATTCAAGGTCACAAAGCCAGGAGGTAGCAAAGCAGGGCTGGTGTGTGAACCCTGGGAGTCAGGTTCCAGAGCGGAGCTCTCAAACCCTTAGGTCAGGGGTGAGGAGGTGTGGGAGTCTGGAAGACCCCGCGGCTCACCTGGCATCAGCTCGCTCACACACGCTCCCCCAAGGCCCAGGAAGATTTAATTAGGGCTCAGAGGCTGATTACCTGCAGGTAATTAAGGTTCTGTGCTCCCTGCTCTTGGTTTCCCTAGTGAAGCAGATGGTGACCCTGGGAGGGAGAAAACCCCACAACTGGCCCAGCTCCCGCTCCAGGCACCACGTCTAGAGAGGGGGACCCATGGCCTGACTCTTCACAGGGGCCAAGGGAGCCCTAGGGGCAAAATCTGGCGACCTAAACCTGTCCATTCAGGTCTGGAGCTGAAGCCGGTGCTGGGAACCCTGTTGTACCAGGTGTCAACTCAGTTGCTGGTTAGTGAAATCTGGAAAAAGGAGGGGTGTCTAGAGGAGAGGAGGGGAGGGGAGGGTTCAGGGGCTCCCGGCAGCCACAATTTACTACCCGGCCCAGCGGATTCAGCATTTTAACAATCCGTACAACTACATGGTGATGCCAGGTGGCTAGGAGCCCCGCCGTGGAGTCAGGAAGCCTCAACTCACCGCCCCCGTGCTCACTGTGTGACCAGGACGAGCCACTGCTCCTCCGTGGCCGAGGCCCTACTAAGCGCCAGTCTCTGTGCCTTACCTGCATTGTCTCAATCTCCCCATTTCATAAAGGAGGAGACTGAGCATCACAGGCGAAGCCACCAGCCCTGACACACCCGGATGCAGCCAAATCTGAAACCCAGAAAACCCATCGGACCCCTCCACAGCCCCGCCCCCGCATGGCCCCGCCCCGCATGGCCCCGCCCCCGGGGCCAGCGGCCAATGCACAAAGGAGGCAGCGAGGGAACCGACCGTGCGGTTGTTCGGCTGCGGCTCAGAAGCGTGGATAGGCCGGTTCAGGCTGGGCCGGCCGATGTAGACGTCGCGGGTCCACGGGAAGCTTTTTAGCAGCTTCAGCAGCGCCCTCGGGTTCAGATAGTTGTCGTCATCCACATGACAGAACCACCTGTGGGGATGGAACGCGGGACAGTGAACTTGGAGGGGGTTCCCAAGGGCTGCCAGCCAGCCAGACTCCGCCCTGCGCCCTCATAATAAGTCAACAGACTTATGGGGTGGGGGAGGCTAACACTGAAGGCACTGGTGTGTTCTGTGCCAGGCAGCGTCTGGTGTAAGCTCATGAGGAAGTTGTGCCCACTTCACAGGTGGGAACCAAGACTCAGGAAGGTTAAGACACTTGCCCAAGGTCACACAGCCAGTGAACAGCAGAATTTGAATCCCATCTGTCTGTCCAGAGACAGATCCCAGCAGGCCCTACATGTGATTAAATTCACAGGGCCCGGACAACCTTACTTTTTTCACAAGACACCTCATTTAGGAACTGGCCCGAGGCAAAGGTCACGCCTGCCCCCAAAGACCAAGGTGAACTCACCTCAGTCCGCTGGCCAAGAAGGCATCAAACTCAGCAGCCATCTTGCAGGACAGGGCAGGGTGGCTGTGCTCTGCAGAGCAGTTGGTGACCACGAGGTGGGACCCTGAAGAAGGGAGGACAGGTCAGGGGCCCCTGCCCAGCTCCTCCCAACAGCCCTACACAGTGTGAGAATGCAGAGGAAGGCAGGGCCTCAGAAAGCCTGGAGCAGTGCATCCAGTCCCATTTTACACATGGGGAAGCTGAGGTCAGGGGGGGCTGACCTGCCCAGGACCCTGGAGCTAATGGACAGTAGGCCGGGCTGGGACCCAGGTGTCCAGGGTCTTGTCTAGCACAGTCCCTCCCCACACCCATACCCGTTTCCAGGGAAGAAGCCTGCTCCCGTCCTGGGCAAAAGGGGAATCCCCCTGTGACAAGGGTGGGCAGCCGTGTTTCCTGGGGAACCCCAGGCCAGGGGACAGCCACCCCAGCTTTCCCTGGCAACAGCCGAGGGGCCCCCAACCCACCCAGAGTTACCCAGTCTCTCCTGGAGGCCTTCATCCAGGCTGTCGGTGAAGATGAACGTCTAGGAAGGAGAAAGGAATCAGGACTGGGGTTGGCCAAGGAGAGTCCCGGGCAGCCCACAGCCCACCACAGCCAAGTCCAGGTGGATACACACATGGCAGACCTCTGTCCTCCTTCAGTGATGGACACACACCCCTCTCACAGTCACACGCTCCTTTAGGACAACATGACTTTCTCAACTACCCAACCCACCCCCCCATACAACACACACAACCCAGCTTTTGTACAACTTCGCGGTACACACCAGCCCATCAGTCTCACACTTAGCCCCCTTACAGACCAGCACCCACCGGGTCCCTACCAGAGTCACACACCCTTAGCAGAATCACACCTTCATCAACCACACACACACATCACATCAAACACACATCACACATAACACACATCACACATCACATCACACACACACATCACTCACACACACATCACAGTCCCGCTTGGCCCCTCCACATATACAGAACCCTAAACACTTGTTCAGTAGACAGACCCACACACTAGGACACCAAACTACTTAGAGAGACGGTCACGACTTTCACAGCCACGCAAACTCCCTGTGCAAGTGTCGGGGCCCCTACACATCTGCCAGGTAGGAGAGGTGACCCACCAACAGCATTCATACACCTGGTCCCCCATGACCTCACTAAACCTCCAGACAGGTGTTATGATCTGTCCGCTTCGCAGATGGCAAAACGGAAGCTAAGTGATGGAGCAAGGCGGTTCGGTTGGCAGGAGGAGAGCTAGGATTTGAACCTAGCCTGGACCTCTCCCTGCCCTCAACTCCCACTACAGCCAGACTTTTCCCTGGGGGTCTAGCAGGCACCTCAGACTGAGGGCGACAACACCAAGCACCCAAGCACCCCCGGACCTGGGCTCCTCTCACTCTTCCCCATCTTGCTGGAACCCAACACCTTGGGGTCACCGTGCCTCCTCTCTTTCTCTCACACCCACATCCAGTCTGTCAACAAATTCTGTCCACCCAACTTTCAAACTGCCCAGGGTGCACCCTCTCCCTCCAGCCTCCACGGCCAGCCCTCGGTCCAGCCCACCCTCGTCACCTCCTGCCCGTTTTGCTGCAGTCACCTTTTCCCTGCTCTCCCTGCTCTGTCCTGCCTTACCCCAAGTCTGTTTTCAACACAGCCCCCGGGGGAGCCTGTAAAATAAGTCCGACCTTTCTTGCCCTGCTCCCTGGCAAACTTTTGCCACCAAACAGTCACCCAGATAGCGGAACTCTCTCAAGTCTGGAGCGTGGGCCAAATGGGCCAGGGAATGCCTGTGAATGAAGCGGTGGGGGGAGACGGAAGGGAGCAGGGCCCGGGGGCTGAGCAGGGTGCATGAGGCTGGTGTTTCGGTCCCTGGGAATCCTGAGGTTGGCACAGAGCGGCGGGTAGTTTCCTTGAGCTGAAGGTTGCATTTGATTTGTTCAAGGAGGGACTCTGACAATGGTTAAAACCTCGCGGGAGAACAAAGGGACAGACAGCCTGCTGGGGTCAGGGGAGGGGTGGCCGGGGGCCATCTGCTGCAGAGGAGGGGAGATGTGGGGCCATTGTTCCTCCCCCATCCCCCACCCGCCCTCCTCGAGGACTGTGGGGAAGAGGAAGACCCCCCCTGAATCACAAAACGTGCCTCCCCCGAGCCCACCCCCTTTGCCTGGGACAAAGGCCCCACACGAGCCCCAGCTCGCTACCACAAAGGCCCACCTGCCACCCGGCTGCCTTAACCAGCTGGGGCGGGTGCCCAGCCCTGGAGTTAACCAGCTCAGGACCGTTGCTGATAGCAGAGCTGAAAGAGGCTCCGAGACCCTCCTGCCCTGTGTGGCTGGGGAAGCTGAGGCTGAACGGTGGAAGGCCTTGGCCAAGGTCACAGGAAGAGATGAGCCAAAGGGTGGAAACGAAGGGGGCCCAGATGCAGTGGCAAGAGTGGGTCTCTCTGTCTCCTCTCCTCTTCCTCTGAGTATCTTTCCTTTTTTCAACCCTCCCTTAAAGGACAAGATTTCTAGACTCTGCCCCTTGTGCTAGGGGCAGGGGTGGGGTGGGGGGTGGGGTGAGACCGTCCAACTGAGTGAATTCATCTCCTACCTCTGCTTAACCTTGCTCAGTTTCCTCACCTGTAAACTGAGAATGTCAATACCTACCACTCGGGTTATTGTGAAGGTTCCATAAAGCGATGAACCCGATATGCTGTCACTTAGATGCTGAGCAGCTGGCAGGCACTCCCTCTGGCTGCCTGGTTAGCATCTGGGATTGAGCTCAGGGCACAGCGGGGGGCTGCTTGCCTCTCCTCTGCCGGCCTGGTCCTGCCAGGCCCAGACACCCAGGCTGGAGGCCCAAGTGACTAGGCAGCTCTGGGATCCCGGGTCTCAGCAGAGAAGGAGGGGCCCCAGCGGGAGATGGCAGCCGGCTCCTACTGGGCTCTGCCCCCTCAGGCCTTCGGGGCAAGCACTTCCTCCTCTCTGGCCTCAGTTTCCTCATCCGGAGCAAGCACACCACCATAGTGATCAAGACGAGACAGGAAAGGGCCTCTGACCACGTGAGGCCATGCTCCCGGGTACACACAGACACAGCACCATAAACAGGAAGGTCTGCGGGGAGGGCCAGGCTTGGCGACTTCCGCAAGTGGAACCAGAATCTGCCCAAGATGAGAAGCTGTGCAGAGCCCCAGGGAAGAGCCTGGGGTGCTGGGGGTACAGCAAGGAAAGGGTTAATCCAGGGTGCTAGGAAATCAGGGCAGGGGTGCCCCCTCCCCAGGGGGCCCTGGCCTCTTCCAGGCACCACCTCCCCGCTCCTTGGTCTCCAGGAGCCCCCAACCCCCTCCGAAGGCTCGTCACTTCCACTGAGCCGAAGTGGGGACAGAGTGTGTGTGTGTGTGTGTGTGTGTGTGTGTGTGTGAGAATCTCCCTCCCCCAGGGATGACTCCCAGCACCCCCGAATCACTGACTTTGCTTGAGGAGGGCACTGGATGTGAGGAGGGCAAGAGCCAGAAGGGACTCGGCGTGTCACAGCTACCGCCCCAGAACGACAGAAGCCACGCAGCCCTGTGGCACACACGCCTCTTGTCACGGCACATCTAACACTGACACTGGCTCCGTGCAGGTGAGCATGCACGCGGGTGTACACACACACACACAATCCCACACGCCAGGCAGACCTCTGCCCTGACCTCTCGCCCACCACTACCTCAGCCGCCACCATCACAGCACACACCCCGCCTCCCTTGCTTCGAAAGTGCCCCGCAGGAAACGGAGCACAGGAGATGAGGTGCCACCGCCCTGGGCACACCCTGGGCCGCAGAGGCGTGGGGGCAGGGCTCTCAGGAGTTCTGAAAGGATGCCCCCCTGCCGCTCTCCCTGAACAGCCCCCCCGCCCCCTCCCCGAGACTGTCCCCTCTTCAGCGGCTCAGTCCCTGTGCTCCACGCTCACAGCCAGGGCAGAAGGACAGCACCCAGGGCCTGGACAGGGGGCGGGCTGGCCTGGGCGCATGTCAGAGTCAGGACCTCTCGGGGGCCTCTGTCGCAGCTGCCCAACACCCCCCATTGCCCCCGATGCCAGGCTGGGCCAGGGTGGGCAGGAACGGAATCTGTGCCAGGACAACCAGGGAATAGAGGGACCACCCCCCAGAAGGGACCCAGGAGCCCGGGGTACGGGCCCAGCCTGGCCCCAAAAGAAACGAAGCAGTGGGCCTGAGAAGCACCTGGCTCTGGGGCCAGCAAGGGACACAGTCAGGGCCGCAGGAGCCCCTGATCCTCCCAGGAAGGAGCGAGAACACAGCCCAGGTGGGGCAGGTGGGTGAGCAGTTTCTCCCTCGAGGCCGCCAGGGACCCCAGCTCGGTAGAAGGTCCTCTGTGAGTCCCTCAGACCAGAGGCCACTCCTGCGGCCCGCAGTCACCCGCTTGTCACCTGTTCCCTGGTCCTGGAGACCCACGTGTCGAGCAGCAGCTCCAGGCGGGAGCGATGGAAGGCCCGGGTTGTCTTGACTGCGATGAAGACATCGTGCAGCTGCAGCTCCGGGGGCCGAGGGCTTGGCGGGCTCAGCCCGGGGGTCTCCGGCACGCCCTGCGGGGATGGGCTTGAGTAGTACCGTAGGGAGAGGAGCCCCATGCACAGAAGAGTGAGGAGGACTCCAGCCAGGCCCCGGAGGAGCCGGCACTGCATTGGCCCTGGGACCCCAGACGGCTCAGCCCCCAAATCCCAACCAGACGGGGAGGGGAGGCTGGTCAGGCGGGAGCCCCGGCAAAGGCAAAGGTCTGCCAGGCATGGGGGGCAGGCCAGGAGGGGAGAGTTGGGAGTCGGTGCTCTGGACCCGGAGGCCGAGCCATGGCAGCCCCGCTGCCGCTGCCGCCAGCCCTCCACCTGCTCCCGGGCCCGCCCTCCCACTGCCGGCTCTGGGGCGCCTGGCCCCGCCCCTGCCTCCAGGGCAGCCCAGGGGCGGGGCCGGCCCAGGGGAGCCCAGAGGTGGCTGAAAAAGTGTCACCGGCGGAAGGGACAGCCCGGCCCTGCCCGCTGCTGCAGGGGGGGTGGGGGCAACAACAACCCCTCCATGCCATGGACATATATACACTACCAAACGTAAGGTAGATAGCTAGTGGGAAGCAGCCGCATAGCACAGGGAGATCAGCTCGGTGCTTTGTGATCGCCTGGAGGGGTGGGATAGGGAGGGTGGGAGGGAGGGAGACGCAAGAGGGAAGAGATATGGGAATATATGCATATGTATAACTGATTCATTTTGTTGTAAAGCAGAAACTAACACACCATTGTAAGGCAATTATACTCCAATAAAGATGTTAAAATAAATAAATAAAAATAAAAAAATTTAAAAATAAAAAAAAGCAACCCCTCCATGCCAGATGGAAGGGAGGGGCCCTCCAGCCTTCCCACTCCCCAGAGACCCCCGGCTAAGCTCACTCAATACCCAGTATCTTCTGGTGTCCAGCCTCCCAGCTTTTGCTCACACTGTCCCTCGCCCTGGATGCTCTTCGCCAGCCCCCACCATCCTCACCCACGTTCCTTCCACCAGGCTTAATTCTGTTTGGACTTCAAGGCTCAGCTCAAGGGTTCCCTCCTCCAGGAAGCCTCCCAGCCTCTGGGGCTCCCACAGTAGTTAGCTCAGTTCCTCTGGTCTTCACAACAGCGTTAGAATTATTTCCAGTTCATAGCTGGGCACATAAGGCTGAGAATGATCTAAGATGATCCAGCAGCTCAGCCACAGAGCCAGGTAGAACCCAGGTCGCTGGCCCTCGTCTGGCCCACCAGAGGCCCCTGAGGGTGCCTGTCCTGCTGTGGCCCACTGCAGCCCATCTTGCTCAGCAGCCTTTATTGCTGCCTCTCTCCCAGCCAGGCCGGTGGACAGAGGACCTTCTGCAGCTACCACCTCCGTCTTGTTTTGTACAAGGTCACTCATATCTTGTCCTCCCTCCGCTAGAACCCTGATGGCTCCCATCTCCCTCAGAACAAAAGTCAAAGATCAGACACCAGCCTACAGGCCCTGTGTAAGGGGGGCCCTGTTACCTGCAAACCCATATCCTACCATCTTCCCCTTGCTTCCTCACTCCAGACCCAGTGGGCTTCTGGCCAGTTCAGGGACACACCCACCTCAGGACCTTTGCACATGCTGTTCCTGCCTGGGTCTCTCCCTAGAGATCCATACACCTCACCCTCACCTCTTTCAAGTTTACACAAAAATGTCTTCTATGTGAAGCCTTCCCAGACCACTTTATTTAAATTGGAATCCCTTCTCCCCCGTCCTTCGCAGCAGGCCCCTTTTTCTGCTGTGTTTTCTCCATAGCACTCTTCATCTTCCAACATCCTGTACATTTTATTTATTGTCTGTCTTCCTCATGAGAATATCAGGGCAGGGATTTCTGTTTATTCACTGAATCCCCAGTGCCTAGAACAGTGCCTGGCACATGGTAGGAGCTCAATCAATATTTGTTAATTAAACACAAGAAAGTACCAGATGGCTGGTGAATTGCATTAGCCCCACAAAGGAAGAGGAAAGGAAAAGCAACCCTTTTGAGTCACCCTTCTATGGGCCAGCCCCGTGCCAGGCCCTTTCACAGTCTGTCTTCTCAGAATGGCATCACCAAGGGATGAGCCCGCGCTTCATGCCACACAAACCAGGGTTCAAATCCTGATTGGGGCACTCCCTAGCTGTGTGACTCTGGGCAAGTTACTTCACCTCTCTGAACTTTACTTTCAGTTGTCAGATGGGGACAAAAATAAGACTTGGTGACGATTAAAGAATTGGTGGGCTTCTCCACCCCCATAGAAAGGGCACCTAAGATGGGACCAGCTGCTGGGCTCCTGCATCTTCACCCAGACTCATATGTCCATAGACCAAGCACTAGGCCAGGCACACAGCAAGGAAGTGGGGAGGTTTGTTTACCCAAATGAGCATGACCCAGTCTCCATGGCCAGGGAGCCCAGAGCCACCCACAGAGACCCACCATCCTGCCACAAAGCAGAGCCTGGCATGGCCCAGGAGAATTCCCAAGGGCTGGGAGAATCAGGCAGGCTTTGCGGAGTTGGTGTCTGAGCCTGGCCTCCAATTTAAGCAGCCCCCGACCCCTGGACTTGGACTTCTCAGCCTCATTTCCCACCACTCCCCAGGTGGCCAATCTCAACCCATTTTCTGCCTCTGAGCCTTTGCTCTTGAGGTTCCCTCCACCTAGTACACCCACTCCCCAAAAACCTCCTAGGAGCCTGCCCAAATTCATCACTGCGACTGAGGAGTCACAGGAGGACCAAGAACATATAGGCATGTAAGTCCAATAGGTGCTTCCTGAAGAAAGGAATCCCACAATGCAAGCTCAAGCAGCACCTCCTGCAGCAAGGCCACCTAGATTTCTCCCATTGGAGGTGATCATCCCGTCCAGTGAAGCAGTTTCAGGGACCTGGTAATACACTGAGGGTTTGCCCTTAGTCAGCAGCTGGGCCCCTTAGCCTAAGACCACACCCTGCTGGCTTGGCATCCCCACTCCAGGGGACACTCCTTTGATGATCAGACACGAGCAGAGCTGAGCGCAGGGGTGGCCCATCTGTGGGGCAGGTAAGGTGATGCCAGCACAGATGGCAGGCAGCTCCGGGATGAGTCAGGAGCGAAATCTGACCCTCCCCACGGGAGAGTGGGAACCTGAAAGGTGGTATCAACCTGAGCTCGTGGTGGCAACAAGTGCGGGGGATGGAAAGGGGGCCCCGGGCCAGGGATGCAAGCAAGCAAAATGCCACCAGCTTCTATGACAAACTGTTTAATGCTCCATGATGTGCAGCTTCTAAGTGAAAAAGGCCCGTTAAAAAATCTACGAGCTGTACATTCTGGTAACGGGGCAGCCGGCCCCCTCCCCGGCCGTCCCTCCGGGAGGCAGGGCCGGGTACAGGCTTGGTGAGAACATGGTCCTGGGCGTGCTCACCAGGAACACACGCGGGTCAGTGCCCAAGGGTCACGGGGGTGGGGGCATGATATTTACACAGGGGAGAACCACGGACACACGTGTGACAGGAAGACACGAGGGGCACAGGAGACAGTGGACCCGGGAAGCCACAACGCCCCCGTGGAGGTATACACAAGAGATGTGAGCTGGACGGGTGGGCACCACGCATGACGGGCTCAGGGCTCCTGTGAGCAGAAGAGGCTGTGGAGCCCGGAGACCTCGTGTGCCAGGGGGAGGGGCAGACGCGAGCCGGCCCCATGGGAACTTGGGTGTGCAAACCAGTGCACAGGGGTGAGAACGCAGATGCTCCAAGGTGAGCGACAAGGGAGAGGACACAGACGTGTGCATGAGACCCATGAGATGGGTCCGTGGAGACATGGGGCCAAGGGAAGGCCCAGAGCAGCAAGTACAGGGATGGGAGGGAGCTCTGCCCCGGGGGCTCCTCCGGGTGAGAGAGCCCGGAGCCCAGAGCCAAGGGCCCCACGCCGAGCGTCTCAGGGTCTAGGAAGGCTCAGGATGGGGAGGACCCAGCTCCACTGCACACACCAGGGTCCCCGCCGGGGGCCGTTTCTGAAGTGCTCGAGGAACGCACAGGCATCGGAGGGGACGCCTCAGGCCTCGCTGCTGCTGCCGCTGCCGCCTCTGCCGCTGCCATGCTCCACCCACACGAGGCGGGCCTGCTCCTGCAGGATGCGGCCACGCACCACCTTGGCCAGCTCCTCTGAGTGGCCCCACTCGTGGGACGCCACCTGCACCCAGGAGCAGGGCAGCCCCCAGAGCACCTGCTCCGAGCCTCGGCATTGCCGCAGCAGCTCTGAGTCCCGCCAGCCCGGCCGGCCCAGCAGACCCCTGCCGAGAGAGAGGAAGGTGGGCGGTGGTCAGAGTGGGGGATAAAGATAGACAGTGAGACAGAGAGAGAGGGACAGACTAAGATAGGAGAGTCAGAGGGAGAGGATGGACAGCGGGAGACAGAGAGAGAGACAGAAGGCAAGCAAAGAGATGGAGAAGAGGAAGAGATGGAGAGAGAAGGACAGAGACAGAGACACAGGCACCCAAAGAGGGGGAAGCGCTGGGGTCCTTCCCATCCTCCCGGTCCATCTCACCTGACTTCCCGGACATTCTTGTCAGTCACCTCCACGTGGATGACGATGGGGTAGATCTCGTTCTGGACCAGCTCCCGCACGCCCCGAGCACCCAGCTCCAACAGGCAGTGCTTCTTCTCCGGGGGTCAAGGCTACATTTTACTCTCAGGCCAGAGACCCTAAGCTCCCTGCCCCCTGACTGGGCCCCATAACACAGCCCCCTACAGGGTCCTGCTTCTGCATCCAGGGGGACCTTGGCAACAAGGAAAGAACTGGAGGGGAAGGGCCAAGACCCAGGGAAATAAGTCACTTCCCCCCACTGGACCTCAGCCTCCCTATCTGTAGGATGGAGCTGACCCCGGCAGCCCCAGCTCCCAGGGAAGAGGCAAGTTTGAAGGCAAAGACAAACAGGTGAAATGTATCAGCCAAATTCTCCAGGGTGACCCACATGAGGTCAACTGCCCCAGGCCACCCATCTCACAGGTGAGGAAACAGGCCCACGGAAGGAAAGGGACTTGCCCAGGGTCACTCTGCAACTGAGCGGCACAGGCGTGCACTCAGGCTCTGCTCTTGGGCCCAGAGGGCACCCCCCCGCCCCACCCCAAGCACCTACCTTCCCGACAGACTCCTGGATGGCACGGATCCTGCTGCCCAGCCCAGGGGTGGCAGGTCGGGCCTTGGGGGCTCCGGGCGCTGACGATGTGCACTGTTCCTCCCCAGAGAGGCTTTCTGCAGGCAGGGAAAGGTAGGAACGAAGGGCCAGTGGGCCTGGCTGCCCCAGGGTGCCACCCAGCCCTCCCCTCTCCGGGCGTGCAGGCTCACCTGCTGGGCACACTTGAAAGTCCAGCCGGGAACTGGGCAGGTCTAGGAGGTTGCGGATGAGCCTGGGCGCCAGGCACTCAGGCAAGAGCACCACGGGCCGCAGGGCAGAAACCAGCAGGGGCCGTACCAGGCTATAGGGTTTGAGGCTCCGCTCTGGCTCTGGGCAGGGAAGGCAGTGTGAAGAGATGGGGGTGCAGGCAGGGCCCCAGCTCCTCTTTCCTGGGGCAGCCAGTCCCCTTGATACTCTCAAGGCCCCTAACTTTTTTCCCTTCCTAAGCCCTGCTGCTCCTCCTACACACAGCAGAGCTGCCCCCTCCCTCGCTGGGACCTGGGACGCTCGCAGGAGGCTCCACCCCATCCCCTGCCTCACCCTTGTCCCCTACAGGCCATTATCCTCTCAGCAGCTACAGGGACGCTTTAAAACTGAGGTCAGATCCTGTAACTCCCCTGCTTTCAACGTACCAGTGACTCCCACAACTCTCAGGAAGAAAGCCACATCCTCCACGTGGGTGAGCCAGACCTGCCGGGGCCTGGAGAAGCAGCGAGCCACGTGCCCCCTCACAACAGACTCCATTCCTGCCTCACAGCTCAGCAGCTCTATAGTCACAGGGCCTTTGCATGCCCTGGGGTGGCCCAGTTAACTCTCCTTTCAGAGCCCAGGTCATGCTTTCCCAGGTCCCCGGGTGGGCGGGGACCCCTCCCCCCTCCCCCCTCCCCTCTCCCCTCTCTCCTCCTCACTGCCACACACATGACAGAGTTATGCACTTGCTGTACTTAGTATCCTCCAAACACAGTACACGCAGCCATGCCTCTGAGCCTTCACACAAGCTGTGCCTTCTGCCTGGCACAGACTCCTCTTCATCAGTGAAGGCCCCAGTTCAAACAACCTCCCTCCCAGGAAGTCTTCCCTAACCACCCTCTCCTCCTTGCCCCTCAGAATTGCTATTCCCTCATCTGGGCTCCCCCAGCCCCTCTTCCCTTCTCTGGCCCAAGGCCTCACCCTCCTGCCTCCAGAAACTCCCTCTGGGGTCGTCACGGCACCTGCCACCACACACAGGCAAGAAACACAGCTACGCATGCTTTGCAGGATAAAGAGAGGCCCGTGCTCGTGCGTGCCCTAAACTCACCCAGACCCACAGTCACACCTGGACATAGACAGCTCCCTCAACCCTGGTGGCCCATCTCCCACCAGGCCCCTGGCATGCGCCCTGCCCCCCACCGGAACCCAGGCCCTTCCAGGCCAAAGGGCCCACCAAGGCCGAGGACACCCCGATGTGCACCCCGTGAGCAGTGCAGGCTGCACCTTCACACCTGCGCACGCACCTGAGCAGGGCTCCAGCAGCAGCTGTTCCGGGGAGTCCCCAGCAGGACTCCCCACATGCTTGGGCTTCACCAGCCGCAGCTGGTCCAGGGCTCGCTTCTTCAGCTGGGGAACGGGTAGGGAAAGAGGGGCACCTGAGAGCTCAGCTGCATCCCACCCTCAGGGAGAGAGGGCCCCGCTGCCACTACTGTCCAGGCTCATGGGTCAGCACAAGAGCCCCCTCCCCACCAGGCTTTCCCCTGCCCCCACCCGGCCCAGCACAGCCCCCGAGGCAGGGAAGGGCAACCATCACTAAGGACCAAGGGAAGCAAGACTGTCAGACCCAGTTAGAGCTAGAGGAGCCTTAGGTCTGCCCCCACTTTAGAGACTGAGAAACCGAGGTCCAGAATAAGACATAAGAGACAAACTCTGGGGTCTCTTCCAATGAATTAGCAATGTGACCTTGGGTAGGTAGATTACAGAAACCAATATGGACAGCACTAATTATACCAATAGCTGACAGGTGTTGAAAGCCTACAACGTGACAGACACTAACTAGATCCCACGTGCACGAACCCAAGAGGCAGGCAGCATAATCCCCCCATTTTACAGATGAGGAAACAGAGCCTCAAGGGAGGGTCCCGTGGTTGTCCAAGGTCACAGGCTGAGAAGGAGCAGAGCAGGGATGCAAATCTGGGTGGCCTGGCTCCAGAGCCCAGGCTCTCCACCTTCTCTCTAGCACCGTGGGCTCTTGAGACCGCTTTAACCTCTCTGAGCCTCACTCAGCCCAGGCGCACGGTGGGGGCCATCACCCAGCCCAGCCCTGCTCCAGGGATTAGAGAAGGGGTGTGACTGTTGTTCCGTTAAGTGCTCACCACGTGCCACACATGCTCCCGGGCAGCGGGCACACTACCTCACCTCCCCCTCTCAACTACCCAGACGGGAGCCCTGTTGTTCTCTTTGCTGGACACATCGGAGAGGATCAACCAGTCTGGGTGGAGAAGAAACCAAGGAGCTCACCAAGAAGATGAGCCACCAAGCGTGGGTGGGGTCTCCTCCCCCAGCTCCCGGATAATGGAGCCTGTCCTCTCCCTTTTGGGGGCCCCCTCAGTACCCCTTCCCCAGGCCCTCGCCCTGCCCCCCCAGCCCTGCTTACATTACTGCGGGGCCCCCGGTGTCGGCTGGAGGGCAGGCATTTCTCCTGAACTTCTAGGAGCTGCTGGGCTCTGTGTAAGGGGGTCGTGTCACGCGTTTGTAGGGAGAAGGGGAGCCCCTCACCTTCTCTCCTCCAGTCCCCCATTCCTGTCCCAGAGGATGGCGAGGAACTGAAGGAGGGAGAAAGAGTCCCCCATCCCAGTCCCAGCTCCCAGGGCTGCTGGAAGTGTCACCTCTGATAATTGGGCACAGTGCCCCGATCCAGGTCCCGCAGCGTGAGGGGGTCAACCCGCGTGCAGAACCACTCCTGCCGCCGCTTGTACGCCGGGTCCACCAGCCGCAGGATCTCCTGCGCTTTCACGCACAGGGCATGGGGGTCGGTCCGCTCAGGCAGGGTGAGGTTGGCTCGAATGTAGAAGGGCTCGGCCCCCGGCCTCTTCACCCAGGCGTCTAGGGCCTCATGGAAGGACTGGCACGCTGGGCGTGGACAGGCAGGGGGCAGCAAGGAGGACAAGGAGAGGGGAAAGTCAGGCATCAGCCTCAGAGAGGCCACAGATGTGGCCCTCTCGAGGCCTGAGCGGCCAGGACCCCACCTTCCCCTTCTTTTTTTTTTTTTTTTTTTAATATTTATTCATTTATTCGGCTGCGCCAGGTCTTAGTTGCAGCATGCGGGATCTTTAGTTGTGGCATGCGGATCCAGCTCCCCGAGCAGCAATCGAACCCAGGCCCGCTGCATTGGGAGCGAGGAGTCCCAGCCACTGGCCCACCAGGGAAGTCCCCACCTTCCCCTTCTTAAAGTGAGAGTCCAAGGCTCAGAGAGGGTGGGGCCCTTTGGGCCTTGGGGCCCAAAGCCACCAAGCCCACTCGGGACAGAACCAGGACCCGAACCCAGGTCTCTGGACTCCTATCCAGTGCTCCTTGCACTGTAAGCTGTTTACTGAGGAGAAGACAGAGGAAGGGCACAAGGACAACCGGCAAGAAGGCAGGGGCGTGGGAGGGAAGGGAACTGCCAGGGGTCAGGAGGCGGAGCATCCCCCTCTCAGGCCTTGGCTGTCCCACCCACACTATGGACCAGATGAGCCTTCTCTTGGGCCCTCAGTTCTGACCTTCTAGGACTCCCGAGTCCTCAGTCCCTCCCCCCAGGCCAGATTTACCCTTGAAGTCCATCAGAGGGAGTGTGGATGTCTGGTTCCAGGGCAAGTTTCTCTGCTGGGCCTCGCCTTCCAGGACTGCCCGCTCCAAGCCAGTAGCCTCTGCCCTTGGCTGGGAGAAAACCCAGGCAGGGAGGGAATTGAGTTTCCCAGGGCTTCCGGAGACAGCCCTGGGGCTGGAGGACATCGGGTGTGGGGGTGACCATGTCTCAAAATTCAGCTGCCCCCACCTCACAGGGTGGTGCCCAGTCAGACACTGCTCTTGGCAACTGCCCTCCTCACCCAGCCTGTCTCAGTCTGGTCTTTCCCACGTGTAAGGGTGGGGATGTGTCCAGGTTCAGTCAATCTGCCCCACCTCCCAGCCCCTGCCCAATCAGATTTCATTTGATGCTGGCTGAGGCGGGGCAACCAGCCGCTAGTCACTGAGCCCGCCTCAGCTTCGGCCAATCCGTAGAAACTCCGCCCAGTGACCTAGATCCACCAATCAGAGGGTATCCATCCCCAACTAAAGCACTGACTCCGCCCCCAGCTCAGAGGGGCGGGGCCTCACCTCTCTTGGTTCCACCCTGGCCGATCCTGGCCCAGAGAGCACCCTCCGAACGACAGCCCCAGACCAGCTGTCCCCGAGGAATGACAGGCCATCTAGGCCCTTGTCCTGGGGCTCAGGTCCCCCCGGGGGGCTCCAGCCAGACACTCGGATGGCCAGAGACCTGAGAAGAGAGAAAGGAGATGGGAATTAGCGTTCAGTATTTTGATTCAGTTCAACATTCTTGGAGAACCATAGTGATTCCCCAAGGATGCCATGACTCCCACCCCGGGCCACTGCACCTGCAGGGAATGCCCACCCCCTTCTTCTCTGCCTGGCAAATTCTGCTCATCCTTCAAAGCTCAGGTCAAAAGCGACCTCTCCCTCCCCAACCCCTGCACATGGTGAGGCGGAGCTTCCTGCTGAAGCCCCGCGTTTTTGTATTTTCCCATTTGTTGCCTCGCTCAGAAAGAACGCCCTGAGAATAAGCCTGCTGTCATGTTCAGCTTCAGATCCCTACCACCAAACACAGTGTCTGGCACATAGCAGATCACTAATATAAGCTTGTTATGCTCATAGTCTAGGGCGGGAGGTCACCTTTAGATCACAACAGATCAGAGATGGTTACTGCTGGCAGTGGCAGCACACAGGGGAGGGACTTCCCAGAGGAAGCAGCAGCTGGGCTACATACATCATGGTGAAAACTAGAAGCACTTCGGGACCCAACAGAGAGCACACGGCTCCAGGCTGAAGAGCTGGCATGGGCAAAGGTGTGGAGGACAGGATACAGTGTGGAAGAACTTAATAACAACAATAATAATAGTAGCAGGAAACCCTGGGTGCTTCCCACGTGCCAGACACCGTGCTAAGCTCCTTGCCCTAATTAACTCCCAGAAAAGGCAAGCTGGAGCCAGCCTATGGAGGGCTCGGAATGAAGGCACCTGGCCTTCCTCTCATGGGCAGTGAGTCACCAAACCCCCATCATGGCAGGGCTCTGCCTGTCCCCGGATGAGAAGTGGTGAGGCCCTGTGGCCAGACTAAGTGACAACTGACCACAAGTCTCCCCATGGGCCCCCACAGTTCTGGGGAAGAAGAGAGACCAGGGTCCATGGGTGTGCCCCAGCTGGAGAGGGGGCCCAGGAAGAACCCAAGCGTTCACTCGCCTCCCCACCCACCCTGGCAGCTGCAGCCACAGGGCCACACTGCCCCCTGCTGCCAGCCCGGGGTGGGCAAGGCTGCAAAGACCTTAACCCAATCAGCACCCATGCAGGGGGGGAACCCTGGCCCTGGGGAGTCCGACTTGGCTCCTGCCCCCTCAGTCCAAACAGAGAGCCAGGCCCCAGGGGCTGGGGCTAGACATGGGTGCTAGAGGCATCAGGGCTGATTTGACAGGCTCCTTCAGCCCCAGGACTGTCCTGGCCACATCAGTGTGGCACAGAAAGGCCTCAGCAGAGACAGGAGGCCTGAGGCCAGGCCTGGCTATGCTGCGCAATGGCCCGATGGCTGAAGCCACACAGTCCAGCTCCAACCCCAGCATTCGCTGTGGCCTAGCCTTGGACAAGTGAGCTGGCCACTTGATTCTGTCCCTGCATCCCTAAAGCAAGAACGATGATGGCACCCGTCTCCCACTGTGGGTGTGAGGGTCAAATATAGAGATAATGCAGGTAGAGGTGGAAACCAGAGGGCTGCAGGGCCTTCCAACTAAATGGGTTGTGAAATTCACTGGGTCATGACCAGCACTGTTTTTTAATGGAATGGAATAGAAAACAGAAGCCTGCCTCCCTTCAAGTAAATCCAACTATCTTCCTGTAACCCTTTTGTTTCAGGCACATGTACTGGGTTTCTCGCGTGGAGGGCTGTGGTCAGAAGAGTTTGAGAAAAGTGGCATGGAGGGCACCAGCAGGAACTCCGGGGCCAGGCGGCCAGGTTGCTTGCCTCGTTCTCAGCAGTCCCACCTGCATCTACCTACCTCATTGTACAACTCAATGAGTTAAAACATGGGACATGGGACTTCCCCGGTGGCGCAGTGGTTAAGAATCCGCCCGCCAGTGCAGGGGACACAGGTTCGATGCTTGGTCTGGGAAGATCCCACATGCCGCGGAACAACTAAGCCCGCGCACCACAACTACTGAGCCTGTGCTCTAGAGCCCGTGAGCCACAACGACTGAGACCGTGTGCCTAGAGCCCGTGTTCCGCAACAAGAGAAGCCACCACAATGAGAAGCCCGCACACCGCCACAAAGAGTAGCCCCCACTCGTCACAACTAGAGAAAGCCCGTGCACGGCAACAAAGACCCAACGCAGCCCATCAATCAATCAATCAATCAATAAAATAAAATTACTTAAAAAAAAAAAATGGGACGTTGTTGGAACAGTGCCCAGTGAATCTAAGTGCTCAATAATAGATACTCACTGTCATCAGGTGTGAGTCAGGACCAGTCACCTCCCTGTGGCCCCATTTCCCCACCCATTTCAAACCCACAGACAACTGACCATCACAGCTTCCCCAGTCGAGGGCCCAGCGGGCAGCCCGCATCCAGGCCCTCCAGGACCGACCTGCTCACCACCCACCCCTGCCTAAGCACGCCCCCTCCCCTCCCTGTAATTCCAGGATCAGGGCAATTTCTCAGCCACCCCAGGTTTTCAGGCTTTTCTTGCCAATTCCTGCTGCTCTGAGACCCAGCTCAGGCACTGAGACCCAGCTCAGGCATCTCCTCCTTCAGGACGCCCTTGCCCACCTCCCCAAGGGACCAAGTGACTTCTCTGAGCCTCCACAGCCCCAGGCTACTACCTGGCGGTTCATTGGGGGCAGGGTCCAGGCCAGGTCCCTCAGCCCCAGGCCTCAGCAGACAAGTGGGTTCGGAAGAGAAAGGAATGCGTAGGGGGCAGGGGCTGCCTGCTCCAGCCTCTCAGGACTCCTGGGTCTCGGGCAGCACACTCTGATTGACCCCAACCCTGCCTGTGGGGGGTGGAAAGGATGGGGTCCCAGGACACTTCCCCAGTGTCAGGTCAGGAGTTGGGTCACAGGGGAATGGGGCCAAGTCCTTCACTCTGCCAGCCCTGAGCAGTGATGGGCTAAGTGGCCTGGATGAGTGTTGCCCCACCCCAGGGCACTGTGGGAAGATCCCTAGGCAGGCCAGGGACCTTTGAAGTTGACACTTAAGCATGTCACACAGATTGCCTCACTGAATCCTCCCGACAACCCTCAGGAGCCACCTGTTATTCCCCCCACATTAGAGAAGAGGGAAACTGAGGCCCTGGGGAAGTTATAACTTGACAAGGGTTACACACGTGGTGAGTGGTGGAGTCAGGTGATGACCTATCCAAACCCTCCCTGTGCAAGGTCGGCCAGTGCTGGAGACCCAATGTCTACGTGACAAGGTCGGACAGGGGTGGCCCTGCCCGGGAGACAGCACCCCAATACTCTCCCAGTGCCCTCCCCATTCAGCACCTCACTTTCACTCTTTTTCTGCCTGTCCATCCATGTCCCCCATCCTGCCCTGCCCCAAGGCCCTGGGAGCCAAGAGGGGCAGGTGAGAGCAGAGGGCTGAAATGCCCAGAGCACAGTGGGCACTTAACACGGGTGCGAGGTTAAAGTAGCTTCGACGGGAGGAAGGGACAACAGAATCCCCAGCTCCACCACCAAGTGGCCATGGGACACATTCCCGACTCTGAGTCTCATTTTCCTCATCTGTATAATGGGGCTTGCAGGGCTACCCTGAGGGTTAAGCCACAACAACACCAATAATAATAGCTAAGAGCTAGCTTCCCGCTCACCGCGAGCCAGGCATGTGCTAAGCACTCGAGTAGGAGGACCGGAACCCCCAACAATGACCCCAGGGGACAGGCACTATTGTGAACCCATTTTACAGAGCAGGAAACTGAGGCACTGAGAAATTAAATGACTTGCCCAAGGCCCCACAGTAGCGAGTGACAGAGCCTGGACTTCAGCTGGCTCCCAAGTCTGTTCTTCCCCCTGTGCTCTGAGCTGTAACCCTGCCTCCAGCCCAGGACACATGCAAACAGCACTCGCCAGCCCGTTAGGGCACTCGAGTCCCTGACCTCCCATCGCTCCACCCCCTTCTCTCCCGGTCCACCTCAGTCTTCGTTCTTCCCCCATCTCCCTCCTCCCCAGGAACTTCGTGGGCAGCAGAGGTGGCCCCACGTGATCATGGGGCCCAGGTGGGGGCTGGGCCAGAACCTCCAGCTCCCTCTGCTGCATCCCAGCGCCCCCTGGACAGCAGCCAGGACCCCTGCTGCAGGCCTGAGCAGAGGAAGGGAGGAAGGGCCGAGGCAGGCAGGAAGGGAGGTGCCTCCGCCCCTTCCCCCAGAAGCACGTCCTGCACAGTGAGAAACAATGTCGCACTGGGCCCTGTGCCGGAGGGTGAGAGTGGGGGCAGGGACCTGGCCAAGCTGCTTCCAGGAGGCAGGAGGCCCCTGGCTCTGCTGTGCCCTGATTTCTTGTGTGACCTGCACTCTGTGATCAGCATCCCCCGCATTCCAGCTCTGACACCAGCGCTTCCAAAACCCAAATCTGATCAGGTCACTCTGCACCTTGGCCCTGGCACGTCCCAGCTGTGTGACCTCAGGCAAGTCAGTTAACCTCTCTGAGCCTCGGTTTCCTCTTCTACAAAACAGGGGTAATCATAATAATGCCTGCCTCCCAGGACAGAGGGAATGCTGTAAGGCAGCCAACAGCCGGCCCTGCATTTAGTAATAGCTAAGCTCCCCCAGCCACCACCAGGTCTCCCAGGGTGCACAAGCCAAAATCCACACTTCCCCATCCTGACTCACAAAGCCTGCCCTAGCCTTTCGCCTTTCCCCTCCCCCACCCTCACACTCCAGTCACCACCAAACTCCAGGTCCATCCCTGAACAGATTCTGTTCTCTCTTCTTCCACGTCACCCAGCGGCACCCCCATGCCTGCTCCTGAGTTCAAAGGCCACATTCTCAGACCGGCCTCCTCCATCTCCTGCCCTCCTGAGATCACGGACAGTCTTGAGCAGGGAGACCACGCATCCACCGAAACGGACAGAGCACATGGCCTGCAGCATGCTCTGGGCCGAGGTGATTCATGACTTCAGTTGTGGGCCTGGGGCCAGCCCAGCTGCAGGGGCCCCACCCCACCCTCAGCGTGAACTTTGCTGGGAGGCTCAGTCCTGCTGGGAACCCCAAGCCGGGAGGACAGGCAAGCAGCACGAGTAACAGCTACCATCTACCCACCACCCGCCTGGCAAAGTGGGGGGCTTTGCTGTCACGAGTCCTAAACCTCCGAACACCACCTGTGGAAGACATCACTGTGGCCCTTTAGCCAGTGAGCAAGCTGAGGCCCAGGGAGGTGAAGTGACCAGCCCAAGTCTCCCAGACGATAAGCGGTGGTGACGGCATATGAATCCTACGTGTGACTCTGTCTAAAGACCTCAATGGTGTGACAGCCGTGAGGCGAAGGCTTTGCCCCTGCTCGCCCCTCTCTGGGAACCCGAACCAGCCTCCCAGCTCCACCCCCCCCCCCCCCCCCGGGCAGCTGCAGTACCTGTTGAGGAGATCCAGGCCACAGCCTCTGGCCAGAAGGCCCTCCGGCTTTCCCAAAGGCCACACGCTGTCGGAGGACGAGGACGAGGAGAGGCCAGGGGACCAGGGCTTAAGCGTCACACTCCCTGGAGAGGAGGAGTGAGGTTTAGGGGTGCCAGACTGAGCAATGGGGTAGGGCCCGGGCTTGAGCCCCTCAAGCCCTGGGATGGCCCATGGCCCAGAGGCCTGGGGATTTGGCAGGTTTGAGGCCCCTGGAACACGTTGGACTCACGGGGCTCAGGGCTGGGCCCGGGCTGGCCAGGGTGACCCTTCAGTTTCCCAGAAGAGCGTGGAGGACAGGCTGGAATTGAGGAGCCTCATAGAGCACAGCCGGGACCAGGAGAGAGGACCAGGGTGGGCTCGGGGTGAGAGGTGGGAAGCAACTCCCCCAGGGCCTCCCAAGCAGAGCCTCCCTGCCCGGCCAGAGGACAGCAAAGCCTCAGGGAGGGGGATGCAGGCCAAGGGCAGAGCAGGCAGCATAGCCCCCAGATGAGCCCTCCCCACGGAGTCCCCGGGCCTTTACCTGTGATGTCCGACATGCTGCTAAAGGACCTGCGCAGAGAGAGGGCGAGAGGGGCCCGCACTGAGCACGGCGCTCCGGTGCCTCCCAAATGTCCTGCAACCCCCAAGCGCGTGCAGGCTAGACCCCGGGAGGGGCCTTGGGCACAGTGCACTCGTGCCATCCAGTCCCCTAAACACACAGAAGAAGTTAACACCCTGACCTCTGTCCAGCTCTTCCACCTAGAATGCCCTAGCCTGTCCTTTAATGCCACCCCCTCCCAGAAGGCTGCCCTGACTTCTCACGCCTCATCTCAGCCTCGCTTTCTACCTTCGTCATTCGTGACTCTGGGCTCTGCCTCCCTCCAACACTAGACCATGATCTCCCCATCACACACCTGTCGTGGCAAGTTCATCCATCGGACCAAGCCCATGACGGGGGACACATGCCAGGAGGCGTCTCCTGCCCTTGGTCTTGCCATCAGTGATACGGTTCAGTTTTTCTGGCCCCCATTTTCTGCTGCTGCTTGAATCTGGGGCCTGACTTTCTTGCTTGAGGTCCCTGACCCCTGGGAACTTCCGCCATGTCTCCTAGCCCTGAACCACCCAGGCTTCCCCCTGGATTAAGGATCTTTGAGGCTTGACCTCCAGTGACTTTCATGTCAAGGTGCTCAGCAGGGACTGAGCCCACTCTGCCCTTTGACCTTGTCTTAACCCCTGACCTCATTCATGCCCATGACTCCTGCAACCTGGGTTTCCAGAGCTCCAGCCATTTAAGGGCAGTAAAGGGAGGTGACAGCCTGGACCTGACTCTGGCATCAGGGATCCTGGGAGGAAGCTGTTTACCTCTTAGGGGGTGCGGGATCCTCCTCCCGCTGCCGGCGGAGGATGGAGCCGGCGCTGGGGGGGAAGGGCAGGATGGAGAGCCGGTTGATTTCCTTCTCGCTGTCCGTGGCCTCCTCCTGCAAAGCCACAGCAGGGCCTGATCACCCCCACGGGACCTGCCCACAACTCATCATACCTAGTTTGTGCCCATTTCACAGATGGGAACTAGGGCCCAGAGCCGAGGGGTAGGCTCTGCAAGGTTATGGGCATGTGAGTGGCTCCCCAGGTCTCCTGGCACCCAGGCCCAGGCCCAGCACTGAGCTGGCTCTGCGTGCGCTTAAACAAGGCACTTGGCCTTCGTGGGCCTCGACAGATGGGAACTAGGGCCCAGAGCCGAGGGGTAGGCTCTGCAAGGTTATGGGCATGTGAGTGGCTCCCCAGGTCTCCCGGCACCCAGGCCCAGGCCCAGCACTGAGCTGGCTCTGCGTGCGCTTAAACAAGGCACTTGGCCTTCGTGGGCCTCGAAACAGGAAGGTCTGCGGGGAGGGCCAGGCTTGGCGACTTCCGCAAGTGGAACCAGAATCTGCCCAAGATGAGAAGCTGTGCAGAGCCCCAGGGAAGAGCCTGGGGTGCTGGGGGTACAGCAAGGAAAGGGTTAATCCAGGGTGCTAGGAAATCAGGGCAGGGGTGCCCCCTCCCCAGGGGGCCCTGGCCTCTTCCAGGCACCACCTCCCCGCTCCTTGGTCTCCAGGAGCCCCCAACCCCCTCCGAAGGCTCGTCACTTCCACTGAGCCGAAGTGGGGACAGAGTGTGTGTGTGTGTGTGTGTGTGTGTGTGTGTGTGAGAATCTCCCTCCCCCAGGGATGACTCCCAGCACCCCCGAATCACTGACTTTGCTTGAGGAGGGCACTGGATGTGAGGAGGGCAAGAGCCAGAAGGGACTCGGCGTGTCACAGCCACCGCCCCAGAACGACAGAAGCCACGCAGCCCTGTGGCACACACGCCTCTTGTCACGGCACATCTAACACTGACACTGGCTCCGTGCAGGTGAGCATGCACGCGGGTGTACACACACACACACAATCCCACACGCCAGGCAGACCTCTGCCCTGACCTCTCGCCCACCACTACCTCAGCCGCCACCATCACAGCACACACCCCGCCTCCCTTGCTTCGAAAGTGCCCCGCAGGAAACGGAGCACAGGAGATGAGGTGCCACCGCCCTGGGCACACCCTGGGCCGCAGAGGCGTGGGGGCAGGGCTCTCAGGAGTTCTGAAAGGATGCCCCCCTGCCGCTCTCCCTGAACAGCCCCCCCGCCCCCTCCCCGAGACTGTCCCCTCTTCAGCGGCTCAGTCCCTGTGCTCCACGCTCACAGCCAGGGCAGAAGGACAGCACCCAGGGCCTGGACAGGGGGCGGGCTGGCCTGGGCGCATGTCAGAGTCAGGACCTCTCGGGGGCCTCTGTCGCAGCTGCCCAACACCCCCCATTGCCCCCGATGCCAGGCTGGGCCAGGGTGGGCAGGAACGGAATCTGTGCCAGGACAACCAGGGAATAGAGGGACCACCCCCCAGAAGGGACCCAGGAGCCCGGGGTACGGGCCCAGCCTGGCCCCAAAAGAAACGAAGCAGTGGGCCTGAGAAGCACCTGGCTCTGGGGCCAGCAAGGGACACAGTCAGGGCCGCAGGAGCCCCTGATCCTCCCAGGAAGGAGCGAGAACACAGCCCAGGTGGGGCAGGTGGGTGAGCAGTTTCTCCCTCGAGGCCGCCAGGGACCCCAGCTCGGTAGAAGGTCCTCTGTGAGTCCCTCAGACCAGAGGCCACTCCTGCGGCCCGCAGTCACCCGCTTGTCACCTGTTCCCTGGTCCTGGAGACCCACGTGTCGAGCAGCAGCTCCAGGCGGGAGCGATGGAAGGCCCGGGTTGTCTTGACTGCGATGAAGACATCGTGCAGCTGCAGCTCCGGGGGCCGAGGGCTTGGCGGGCTCAGCCCGGGGGTCTCCGGCACGCCCTGCGGGGATGGGCTTGAGTAGTACCGTAGGGAGAGGAGCCCCATGCACAGAAGAGTGAGGAGGACTCCAGCCAGGCCCCGGAGGAGCCGGCACTGCATTGGCCCTGGGACCCCAGACGGCTCAGCCCCCAAATCCCAACCAGACGGGGAGGGGAGGCTGGTCAGGCGGGAGCCCCGGCAAAGGCAAAGGTCTGCCAGGCATGGGGGGCAGGCCAGGAGGGGAGAGTTGGGAGTCGGTGCTCTGGACCCGGAGGCCGAGCCATGGCAGCCCCGCTGCCGCTGCCGCCAGCCCTCCACCTGCTCCCGGGCCCGCCCTCCCACTGCCGGCTCTGGGGCGCCTGGCCCCGCCCCTGCCTCCAGGGCAGCCCAGGGGCGGGGCCGGCCCAGGGGAGCCCAGAGGTGGCTGAAAAAGTGTCACCGGCGGAAGGGACAGCCCGGCCCTGCCCGCTGCTGCAGGGGGGGTGGGGGCAACAACAACCCCTCCATGCCATGGACATATATACACTACCAAACGTAAGGTAGATAGCTAGTGGGAAGCAGCCGCATAGCACAGGGAGATCAGCTCGGTGCTTTGTGATCGCCTGGAGGGGTGGGATAGGGAGGGTGGGAGGGAGGGAGACGCAAGAGGGAAGAGATATGGGAATATATGCATATGTATAACTGATTCATTTTGTTGTAAAGCAGAAACTAACACACCATTGTAAGGCAATTATACTCCAATAAAGATGTTAAAATAAATAAATAAAAATAAAAAAATTTAAAAATAAAAAAAAGCAACCCCTCCATGCCAGATGGAAGGGAGGGGCCCTCCAGCCTTCCCACTCCCCAGAGACCCCCGGCTAAGCTCACTCAATACCCAGTATCTTCTGGTGTCCAGCCTCCCAGCTTTTGCTCACACTGTCCCTCGCCCTGGATGCTCTTCGCCAGCCCCCACCATCCTCACCCACGTTCCTTCCACCAGGCTTAATTCTGTTTGGACTTCAAGGCTCAGCTCAAGGGTTCCCTCCTCCAGGAAGCCTCCCAGCCTCTGGGGCTCCCACAGTAGTTAGCTCAGTTCCTCTGGTCTTCACAACAGCGTTAGAATTATTTCCAGTTCATAGCTGGGCACATAAGGCTGAGAATGATCTAAGATGATCCAGCAGCTCAGCCACAGAGCCAGGTAGAACCCAGGTCGCTGGCCCTCGTCTGGCCCACCAGAGGCCCCTGAGGGTGCCTGTCCTGCTGTGGCCCACTGCAGCCCATCTTGCTCAGCAGCCTTTATTGCTGCCTCTCTCCCAGCCAGGCCGGTGGACAGAGGACCTTCTGCAGCTACCACCTCCGTCTTGTTTTGTACAAGGTCACTCATATCTTGTCCTCCCTCCGCTAGAACCCTGATGGCTCCCATCTCCCTCAGAACAAAAGTCAAAGATCAGACACCAGCCTACAGGCCCTGTGTAAGGGGGGCCCTGTTACCTGCAAACCCATATCCTACCATCTTCCCCTTGCTTCCTCACTCCAGACCCAGTGGGCTTCTGGCCAGTTCAGGGACACACGCACCTCAGGACCTTTGCACATGCTGTTCCTGCCTGGGTCTCTCCCTAGAGATCCATACACCTCACCCTCACCTCTTTCAAGTTTACACAAAAATGTCTTCTATGTGAAGCCTTCCCAGACCACTTTATTTAAATTGGAATCCCTTCTCCCCCGTCCTTCGCAGCAGGCCCCTTTTTCTGCTGTGTTTTCTCCATAGCACTCTTCATCTTCCAACATCCTGTACATTTTATTTATTGTCTGTCTTCCTCATGAGAATATCAGGGCAGGGATTTCTGTTTATTCACTGAATCCCCAGTGCCTAGAACAGTGCCTGGCACATGGTAGGAGCTCAATCAATATTTGTTAATTAAACACAAGAAAGTACCAGATGGCTGGTGAATTGCATTAGCCCCACAAAGGAAGAGGAAAGGAAAAGCAACCCTTTTGAGTCACCCTTCTATGGGCCAGCCCCGTGCCAGGCCCTTTCACAGTCTGTCTTCTCAGAATGGCATCACCAAGGGATGAGCCCGCGCTTCATGCCACACAAACCAGGGTTCAAATCCTGATTGGGGCACTCCCTAGCTGTGTGACTCTGGGCAAGTTACTTCACCTCTCTGAACTTTACTTTCAGTTGTCAGATGGGGACAAAAATAAGACTTGGTGACGATTAAAGAATTGGTGGGCTTCTCCACCCCCATAGAAAGGGCACCTAAGATGGGACCAGCTGCTGGGCTCCTGCATCTTCACCCAGACTCATATGTCCATAGACCAAGCACTAGGCCAGGCACACAGCAAGGAAGTGGGGAGGTTTGTTTACCCAAATGAGCATGACCCAGTCTCCATGGCCAGGGAGCCCAGAGCCACCCACAGAGACCCACCATCCTGCCACAAAGCAGAGCCTGGCATGGCCCAGGAGAATTCCCAAGGGCTGGGAGAATCAGGCAGGCTTTGCGGAGTTGGTGTCTGAGCCTGGCCTCCAATTTAAGCAGCCCCCGACCCCTGGACTTGGACTTCTCAGCCTCATTTCCCACCACTCCCCAGGTGGCCAATCTCAACCCATTTTCTGCCTCTGAGCCTTTGCTCTTGAGGTTCCCTCCACCTAGTACACCCACTCCCCAAAAACCTCCTAGGAGCCTGCCCAAATTCATCACTGCGACTGAGGAGTCACAGGAGGACCAAGAACATATAGGCATGTAAGTCCAATAGGTGCTTCCTGAAGAAAGGAATCCCACAATGCAAGCTCAAGCAGCACCTCCTGCAGCAAGGCCACCTAGATTTCTCCCATTGGAGGTGATCATCCCGTCCAGTGAAGCAGTTTCAGGGACCTGGTAATACACTGAGGGTTTGCCCTTAGTCAGCAGCTGGGCCCCTTAGCCTAAGACCACACCCTGCTGGCTTGGCATCCCCACTCCAGGGGACACTCCTTTGATGATCAGACACGAGCAGAGCTGAGCGCAGGGGTGGCCCATCTGTGGGGCAGGTAAGGTGATGCCAGCACAGATGGCAGGCAGCTCCGGGATGAGTCAGGAGCGAAATCTGACCCTCCCCACGGGAGAGTGGGAACCTGAAAGGTGGTATCAACCTGAGCTCGTGGTGGCAACAAGTGCGGGGGATGGAAAGGGGGCCCCGGGCCAGGGATGCAAGCAAGCAAAATGCCACCAGCTTCTATGACAAACTGTTTAATGCTCCATGATGTGCAGCTTCTAAGTGAAAAAGGCCCGTTAAAAAATCTACGAGCTGTACATTCTGGTAACGGGGCAGCCGGCCCCCTCCCCGGCCGTCCCTCCGGGAGGCAGGGCCGGGTACAGGCGCGGTGAGAACATGGTCCTGGGCGTGCTCACCAGGAACACACGCGGGTCAGTGCCCAAGGGTCACGGGGGTGGGGGCATGATATTTACACAGGGGAGAACCACGGACACACGTGTGACAGGAAGACACGAGGGGCACAGGAGACAGTGGACCCGGGAAGCCACAACGCCCCCGTGGAGGTATACACAAGAGATGTGAGCTGGACGGGTGGGCACCACGCATGACGGGCTCAGGGCTCCTGTGAGCAGAAGAGGCTGTGGAGCCCGGAGACCTCGTGTGCCAGGGGGAGGGGCAGACGCGAGCCGGCCCCATGGGAACTTGGGTGTGCAAACCAGTGCACAGGGGTGAGAACGCAGATGCTCCAAGGTGAGCGACAAGGGAGAGGACACAGACGTGTGCATGAGACCCATGAGATGGGTCCGTGGAGACATGGGGCCAAGGGAAGGCCCAGAGCAGCAAGTACAGGGATGGGAGGGAGCTCTGCCCCGGGGGCTCCTCCGGGTGAGAGAGCCCGGAGCCCAGAGCCAAGGGCCCCACGCCGAGCGTCTCAGGGTCTAGGAAGGCTCAGGATGGGGAGGACCCAGCTCCACTGCACACACCAGGGTCCCCGCCGGGGGCCGTTTCTGAAGTGCTCGAGGAACGCACAGGCATCGGAGGGGACGCCTCAGGCCTCGCTGCTGCTGCCGCTGCCGCCTCTGCCGCTGCCATGCTCCACCCACACGAGGCGGGCCTGCTCCTGCAGGATGCGGCCACGCACCACCTTGGCCAGCTCCTCTGAGTGGCCCCACTCGTGGGACGCCACCTGCACCCAGGAGCAGGGCAGCCCCCAGAGCACCTGCTCCGAGCCTCGGCATTGCCGCAGCAGCTCTGAGTCCCGCCAGCCCGGCCGGCCCAGCAGACCCCTGCCGAGAGAGAGGAAGGTGGGCGGTGGTCAGAGTGGGGGATAAAGATAGACAGTGAGACAGAGAGAGAGGGACAGACTAAGATAGGAGAGTCAGAGGGAGAGGATGGACAGCGGGAGACAGAGAGAGAGACAGAAGGCAAGCAAAGAGATGGAGAAGAGGAAGAGATGGAGAGAGAAGGACAGAGACAGAGACACAGGCACCCAAAGAGGGGGAAGCGCTGGGGTCCTTCCCATCCTCCCGGTCCATCTCACCTGACTTCCCGGACATTCTTGTCAGTCACCTCCACGTGGATGACGATGGGGTAGATCTCGTTCTGGACCAGCTCCCGCACGCCCCGAGCACCCAGCTCCAACAGGCAGTGCTTCTTCTCCGGGGGTCAAGGCTACATTTTACTCTCAGGCCAGAGACCCTAAGCTCCCTGCCCCCTGACTGGGCCCCATAACACAGCCCCCTACAGGGTCCTGCTTCTGCATCCAGGGGGACCTTGGCAACAAGGAAAGAACTGGAGGGGAAGGGCCAAGACCCAGGGAAATAAGTCACTTCCCCCCACTGGACCTCAGCCTCCCTATCTGTAGGATGGAGCTGACCCCGGCAGCCCCAGCTCCCAGGGAAGAGGCAAGTTTGAAGGCAAAGACAAACAGGTGAAATGTATCAGCCAAATTCTCCAGGGTGACCCACATGAGGTCGACTGCCCCAGGCCACCCATCTCACAGGTGAGGAAACAGGCCCACGGAAGGAAAGGGACTTGCCCAGGGTCACTCTGCAACTGAGCGGCACAGGCGTGCACTCAGGCTCTGCTCTTGGGCCCAGAGGGCACCCCCCCGCCCCACCCCAAGCACCTACCTTCCCGACAGACTCCTGGATGGCACGGAT